ATAATATATCAGATGTGTTTTAATAATTAATTTTTTAGTCATTCTACATTCTTCCTGACTGAAACACTGATCTTGAAAGTCAACAATGTCATTTCTCGGAAGCCAAGTCTCTTTAAAACCACAGCAGGTGACAGAATGCGTAGGAGACAAATCAACCATAACAGCCGCACGAAGAGATCCGCCATTTTGATTTTAAAAGAAGGGTGCTTTAAACACTTTTAATGCAAAGGATTATTGAAATCTGCAAGATTTCCAATCAATCATTCAATCAATCAGTCCTCCTGACAAATACACTGCTGAATGTTCAACCTGCTCTCTGAATGACAAAGATCTGAGTGCCTGTTTCAGGAGTCAGAGAAGACACTGTGTTCCCGATCGAGCCAACCCCCCAATCCTCCACACCCCTTCTTCTCCCCCTCCTGCTCTTCCTCTTCCTCAGAAGAGAGCACTCTGGATGAACGCTGCGCGTACAGTGCCGAGGCTCTGAGATGAAGGCTGTTACCACATCCTGTGTTCATGTTAAATGTCTTATACGAGCACCTGCCTTGCCTTGCCCTGCCCATAGCCTTCTGCCATTACTCAAAAACTGAAACTGATGAGGCATTTTCTGTTTTGTTTTTAGGGTTTTGCATTCTGAAAAGCATCTGCTGGGCAGATTTCTCAAAGGAAACACTGCATGCATCACTAAAAGCAAACAAACACTGTAAAAACACTGTGTTATTGAATGCCATATACCTTCCATCAACAAGGATTCTGAAACCTAAAATGTTCATATTTCCTAAAAATATATATATTTTTAATGGCTTAATTTAATGACAAGTGTGTGGTGTGACCATAATGTGTATATATTTATATTTTTTATTTGTACTTTTCATGGATGTAAACAACTTCAATTTTTATGTCAAAAATATTGTTTCAAAAAAGTCAAACAACTTTTTTTTAAAAACCATTTTAACTGTTTTTAGAAAATTGATTTCAAGAGTAACCAAATTTCTTGACCTTAGAAAAATATCATAGAAAATTAATTTTTATAAAAAGTCAAAATGTATAAAAGAATATACTTTAAAATACTACCAAAAAATATGGTTCTTGTATTATATGCATTATACCACACTGACTTTACAAAGTTTTGCAGATATAAATATTTAAAACAAAATTGCTTTACTGATTTAAAAATATATATTATAATTAATTAATGTAAAAAATACCTTGATGATATTAACAAAATGTACATTTTCATAAATTGGTTAATATGTGTTATATTAAAAAAAAAAGTCAGATGACAACAAAGTGGACTATACCACACTGACTTGAATTTACAAAGTTTTCCTAATATAAATATTTAAGACAAAATTGCTCCACTGCTAACTTATTAATAGAAGAATTAATTTTAGTATTATTCATCATCTGTGGAGTTACACCACCTGGACATTTTTTGAAGTCCAACCTTTGAAAAAAACTTTTAATTAACACGTCACATATGGATTAAAATGACTGTGTTAATAAGCAGTGTATTCAAAAACATTCTTGTATTAATTACATTTTAACCAAAGCATTTTGAAGAACTGTACAAAACAAGCGTCACGTCACCGATCCGTATAAAAAATTACAAAGTGCGTCAATTTGCATACAACTAGCTATAAGAATATATTTTCACATTTTTAGTCAGTCTCTCCCAAACGATTGCCTAAATACATACACTTATACGAGTCATGAAAATATGGACAAACACCTTGACCCCTGAACTTCACGATATATAAACAAAACACTGAAAAGTAAGCCGCCCACCGATGTTCCCTATAGGGCTCAATTGCGCAAGAATTTATCACTGAGATAAGGATCTCATTACGCTTCATTCTTTTACGAAAGAAACGCAAGACTAACAATATTCCCAGTTACCCATAAAGCTACTCTTTGTGTCTCTACAAACAGATTTTGCTAAAGAAATACACCAAAATCACTATTTTTCCACCGACAAACGTCCCGGATGTCTGCCAACATCTTAAGCCTAGTTCACACTACGTGATTTTAAGCCCGATTTAAGCCCGATTTGCAAATCGTTGAGTCGCCGACAAGTCAGGGTGTTATCGCGTGCAAATCGCGGGCGATTAGCGGACGATTAACGCTCGCCAATCCGTTAGTGTGAAAGAGCCAACAACGCATCAAAGACAGCTCGCAGACAGCTCGCAGACAGGTCACCGAGCTCAGAAAAATATCTAGCCTGCTAGATATCTCGAGCAGTCGCGCGACTCAATCTCAGTGATGTCATGAGTACAGCCAATCATAGCAACGCATGGGTTGAGGACACCAGGTAAATCTTACTTTTTCTTTTTTGCATTTTTTTTCTCAGAGCAGATCGTCGAGCAAACAGTGTGCAGCACTAGTTTCTGTCTGACGTCCATATTCGCGTGTTGTGTTCTTCTCTGTAGTTTCGCGTCATTTCTGGTTCGTTTTATTGCGTGGTTTTTCGTTACAAAACATGGTTTCTAGACCAGATAGAATCGTGTTGTTGTCAACTCGTTATTTGTTTGATTATTTTCAGGATTTAGACCGTATTATAGTACTGAAACAGCTCTCATTGAGTCACAAATGATATGCTCTTATCATCTATCGTGGTTGTATCTCTATGCAGTGCGTTGTTAACTCGTGTAGTGAGTTACCTCCTGTTGTGGATCAATCACGTTGTGTTGTGTGGTGTGAACAGCTAAACAACTTGAACACTCATGATTTCACTGAGAGCAAGTCATGTAATGTGAACTGCACAGTTCAGCCCAACATTTTAAAATCATGTAGTGTGAACTAGGCTTTACTTGCGCTCGTTCTTTCAGAGATGAAAAAGTGCTCGTAACAATCGAAGCGATAAAACAGTTAAACTCACACAACCTGTAGAAATCTTAAACATGCCCCTTACCGAATCAAGTGGTTTTTCTGGCAGTCTTCGGCATGCGACATCCTCTCGTAGTAAAGTTTTCACACAACGTGCGACTGTGTTGTTTACAAAGTATTGAGCAGAATCCCGATTGGTCCGGGTCGAGTCAAGGCGACGCCCCGAAGCTTAAAGCCCATCTGAAAGCGACGTGACAAACCTGTAATCAACGCCGCCTCATTTCACCGCGTCGCAGATTCGTTAATTATAATGGAACGGTTCTAGGTTGTCGAGTCGCTTACAGTGTTTATAGCCTGCCTACGGTATTTAGTTGCGCTTTTACCTCAACTGTAATGATCAGTTTTTGCATAAGGTGGCGCCATTGTCAACCTTCTCCTCGAAGTTTTAGGGCTAGCAAACGGGCAAATTTACCATCCTTTCTTTTTAAATAGTGACATTATGTGTATGACCAGTAGGCACCTCCATAATATTAACTATAAATTATTAATACAACAACAATTTATTAATAATTTATGTATGCTCATTTAAATGTTAAAATATGGGCAAGCATAATTGTCATAAAAATAAATTCACAATAACAAAAAATAATTCATTAATATGAAGAGAAACAAAATGTTAAAACAAAAACAAATTGATAAACTAAATGTGCCTTTTCAAAAAAAAAAAAAAGTTGAAATATGTTACTTATTTTTAAAGTCACATGACAACAAATTGACTTTATATATAGGTCTATAAGTTCCAAATATAAATAACATTTAAAACAAAATGGTTAAAACAAAAGCATATGATTGTATCATTATAGGCTACACTGAATCAAGTCTACACTGCAAACAAAAAACTAAACAAAAACAGATTAGCTCAGATTAGATTAGTTCATTGAAAAAAAAAATGAGTTAATGCAATAAAGGAGATTGGTTTTATGAAAGAAACTCAAATTCTTATGTTATATCCACCATATTACAGTTATAAGTTGATTTGTTTTCTTTAGACACCTTTTGTGTCTAAAGAAATGGCTTTTGTATTACTATCTTTCTTCATTTGTCATGTACACTGTGACAAAATGTTCAATAAGTTTTTACAACATTTTTTTACATTGCTTTAACTCAGTTATTTTCAACGTATTTTGTTATACAAGACTCGACTTTTTTTGTCAATTTAATGTAATTTAAGTTGAAATGACTTAAACATCCAAGTTGATACTTCAAATTTTAAGGCTGCAACTTTTAGTGTACAGTTTTTCTGTGTTCCATCATCATGCACAGTGGTATTTAAAGCATATGAGTTAAATTTTTAAGAAGCCTTCTCGTCTCTAAATATGTTATCTTATTCCTATAATATCATTAAACCTCCTGAAATTAAACAGTAATTCACCTGATAGATCAAAATTAAATTTTAAGTTTAAAAATAGTAATCCGATGTGACTCAAAGTAAGATTTCAAATTTAAAAAGTTTTCCTTTTCATACGTTCATATTTATATATAAAAAATGAGTATTTGCAACTTTGTTATAGCTAAAAATTTGGAAACGTTAACATTTTTTAACCCCTGCCCTCGAGGTGAGCTAAAACATACCAAAAATGAATTTCAAAGTGAACTATCACTTTAATCGTAACAAACTTAAAGGTTAAATAAAAATATGAAAATGTTTACAAATAGAGACATTTACATTCTTATTTTTTAAACATGACATATAGGTAGGCTATTGTTGAACTTCTGATCATAAAATTAAAATAAAAGGCTTATTTCTCACAAATTGACATTTATGAATACTAAATTTAGCTAAAAGAAGTAGCAGATTAGTTAGGCTATTCCTTGTTATAAGATTTGTAGGAGAAAAAAACGAAATAAAACAATTTTAAAGCACAAGTTGAAAGCTGGGCGTGATGTGAGCCTAAATAAAAGAAGAGAAATTTGACCAATGACAAAATGAACGAGGACAACTCCAAAAGTAGTTTGCCTCATCCAGTGCTTTTTATTATCACGTAGGCTATTACATAATGACGAAGTGATTTGCCGTGCCTCGCGCTCAGTGTTTATGCATGACGTCATGGCATGCTCTCGACGCCCCTCCCCTCGCGTTCTTTCTGTGTTGTTTCCGCATAATTAGAGGAATCTCCGCCCAACCCGATTCCAGCTTGGCTGCGTTGTTTGGGGACAGTCCGAAGATGGCGACGGCCCAGCTGTATTGCGTCTGCCGGCAGCCGTACGATGTGAGCCGGTTTATGATAGAATGCGATATTTGTAAGGACTGGTTTCATGGCAGGTAAGGAATGAAACCGTTTCTTCGTCATATGTTGTGTCAGAAAGGCAACAAAAACAATGCAATTCTATGGCACTTTGGATGTCAGTAAGCCGCGCGTTGAGCTCGCTCGCAGTGAGACGATTTCACGCTCTGCTTTGTCAATATTTCCTGGCGTTAATCGCACCCGTTGCCATTTTCATGATGTAAACACTCGTGTTGCGCGTTTGTTAATTCTTTCCTAGCTTCGTTGTTGTTTTGCTGTAGCATTTGACTGTTTTTCCATGGCTTCAGCGATCAGAGCAGCGAAAATGGGTTCACGTATTTTCTCAGTAGCTTTGTGGCTTTAAAGAACATCAGCTGACATGAACAACTCCTGTAGTTTTTTTTTTTTTTTGGCACATAAATAAATGACAGCATTGACATGGGTGTTGAAGTGCACGTGAGATGGTGTGGTGTCGGTTATTAATATTGTACATTTATCTGTCTGCATTTTAGTGCTGTACATGTCAAAAAGCATGTTACAAAGCAGTAAATAATATGCAGTAATAATGAAAAAAAGAAAACGGGTAGAAAAGGGATATGGGCTAAAGCATGATCGAGGGGTGCTGAAACTTGCGAGTGAACTCGTGCATGATCTTTTCCTCTTAAGATTTGTTATTGTGGGGAAAAAATATAAACCGACTACAGTACAAAACTTAGTTTCTATCATAGAGTTGGGAACAGAAAATAAAACAAGCATTTTAATTGTTTGAAATTCACTTTCACCAATATTGATCCAACAACATATGGATTTGGTGACTTGGGATTGCTTTATGCCTATATATTGGGACTTTATTGCTCTTAGCTCGTAAATTAAATGTATTTGACATCCAGGTTGTTTCTTTGTTGGGCTTTCTTTAGCACTCAGCCTGTGAAGCGTGAAGAAACGTGGGGGGTTTCGATGAAAAGTTACACGGGGATGGGGGGGTGTAACTAAACAAAGACGTGTGGTTGAGTTTACGAGATCAGACCCTTGCCTATTTCTCTCGTTAAGTGCCTTAAATGTGCATTACAGATTGCTTGGAAAGTAGTTCCCAATTTTGGGGTTTGCTAGGTTTAATGCAGTATTAAATGTAAAAGGGAAAGACACGCTTGTAAAGGAGCGTAGCCCCTAAGGTTTCTGTGATTGTTTGGTCTTTTTGATTGACAGCAGGGGTCGGGCATTTAAATCCCCCAGTTATACAAATATGGGCATATGGTTCCGGCTCTTAAAGGGACAGGTACCGTTTGACATGTGCAGCGTGGAGCTAAAGCTGTGTGAAATGCTCAGGATGAAAAAAAAATTGCCGGAAGGCATGCAAGAACGTCGCGTTGCTTAAGTGTGATATGGCTGGCACATTTGTTTTTAGTTTACTTGTAAATCTTCACACTAGCGGTCAAAAGTTTGGAATAAAGGTACAAGTTATGTTTGTAAAAGTCTCTACTACTTACCAAGGATGTTTAATCAAAATACAACAAAAACACTAATATATTGTTTCTATTACAATTTAAAATAACTGTTTTCTTTGTTTATATATTTTTCATTTTATTCATGTGATGCAAAGCTGAATTTGTGCTCTAGAAACATTTATTATTTTTATCAGTGTTGAAAACAGTTTTTACTGCATAATATTTTTGTGGGAAACGTGACAATTAAAAGTTTTAGGTAAGATTAAAAAAATATTCAGCAAGCATGCATTAAATTTGATGACAAGTTAAGACATTTATAATGTTACAAATACACTTACCTAAACTATTATTAGGAACCCCATACTACTGTGTTTGACCCCTTTTCACCTTCAGAACTGCCTTAATTCTAAGTGGCATTGATTCAACTCTTCGGTGCTGAAAGCATTCTTTAGAAATGTTGGCCCATATTGATAGGATATCATCTTGCAGTTGATGGAGGTTTGTGGGATGCACATCCAGGGCATGTGAATATACCTCTACCATCTGAATGTCTCAACAGTGTATTCATTCTCAATGCAGGTTTGAATTCAGTTTCTTAATACCAACATTTCAAAGGCCAATCATAAACCGGTCACAACCCAAATTATGGAATATAAATATTTACAAGGTTTTCAAGCATACTTGCATTATTAGGCCTCTGTATTTAAATTGCATGAGATGTTTAATTTTGCCAAGGGGATTTCTGTATCCCTGTATCACAACACTGTGGTGCCCACTGGCACTGTTGATAACACGGGATAATCATATTTGTTGGGTGCGTGGTGGATGTGTTTTGTTCTGTTCCTCAAAGGTTCAGTGTGTCACTGCTGCCTGCCACCAATGGGATTAAGCCGTCTTGCCGGTTGCCCGGGCCTGGCTGTTATCTGGCTCTGTGCACTGCCTGTTTTGGGAGGCAGGATCCGCTGGGGGCGAAGGCCTCCGAGAATTACAAAACTCCTGATATTCATGCCTGATAGTGACCGTTTCAATCTTGCAAAAAAAACAAACATGCCTTACCTATCAGGTGCAGGCAAGATTTACAATGACCTTGGAATGTTACCTAATGACTTGTTTAAATGGTTAGTTTATCCTAAGCAAATCCTCCTAAACCAGTTCTGCGGTCTATGTCTTTGGAATAATCTGTGTATTTGCATGCTTGATGCACGTGCGTGGGTGTGCTTGTGTGTGTTTGTAGGAGGAGAAAGATTGATGAAGGCTCCACTGCCCAGAGGCAAGTTCAAAGCCCCATTCATCAATGTCCCTCTGAGGTTGAAAACCCTGAGGAGAGATGGATGACTTCTGTCTTGTCAGCTAGGGTTTTTAGTAGGGTTGGCCTGGTCGAAAAAGTCACCCTTGTTTTTGTATGTGACATTAGGGATTCTTAATGATGGCAAGATGATCACGTGCTGCTTCACTAGAATATGAATTAGGATAAAATAAAATCGAATGTATTTTCACACATTGTTTTCTGAAAGAAAATGGTTTGTATACAGTTACTGAATTATAACATATCTTACATAAATATAAATGCATGATTCTAAACTCCATCTCGGTTTTCCATAGCCTTCGGTAACAATATTATTTGAGTCATTTGTCAGATGGATTTTTCACTGGCTGGTTATGATTAACGTCCTTAAGTTGGCAACCTATTGATTTCATGACCATTATCCACTTTATGAATAGCACTGGGTGATCTCACTGGTCATCTGTCACATTTGCCATAACTAATACGGGCTGTTTCAGTGTTTTAATGCATTGAAAAGGGAAAATAGTTAGAGCTGTGGGAATGTTGCCTCAAACCACAGGTTTGGTTTCACTCATCACAAAATACCAGACTCTTTTGAAATTCACAAGACACTCCAGTTTGATAATATTCATCATTATGTGATATCATTGATTCAAAAGAAGACATTTTACTATATATTTTTTTTTACTATTATTTTAGTATTTATATAGTATACTATATAAATACTATATAAATATAAATGATTTATATAGTATTACTATTTATATAGTATATATAAGTGATTAGCAATGAAGAACTATACATCTGTTCTACATGTTGGATAGTGGAAACTTCAAATAATTAATATTAAAAAAATACAGTACCATTCAAAAGTTTGTGGTCGATAAGATTTTTGTCTAAAAAAAATGTTAATTAAACAAGTCGCTTATGCTCACCAAGGCTAGATTTTTTTTTAATCAGAAATGCACTAAAACTGTTTTGTGAATATTATTATAATGTAGAATTGTTACAATGTTTTCTATTTTAATATCTTTTAAAATGTAATTTATTCCTGTGATGTAAAGCTGAAATTTCAGCATCATTACTCCAGTCTTCAGTGTCGCATGATCCTTCAGAAATCATTCTACACACTGTAAAAAAAAAATATATTTTCAAGATTTGTTATCACAACATTTTTTCTTCTGTCAAATCAACTTAATTTATTTAGTTGGGATAACTTATTATTTTGAGTTTCTGATGATTAAATCATTCTCCTTCGTTGTATTAACTCACTTTTTCCAGTTCAATCAACTTGAAATTTTAAGGCAACCAGGTTACTTACTTTATTAAGTTAAACCAACAATATTTTTATAGTGTAGTATGCTGATGTGGTGCTTTGTGGAAACCGTGATAGATTTTTTCAGAATTATTTGAATAGAAAGTTCAACACAACAGAATTTATTTGAAATAGAAATCTTTAGTAATATTATAAATGTATTTACTGTCAATGGTGCACATCAATTTAATGTGTCCTTGTGGAATAAAAGTATAAAGTTCTTTAAAAATAAACAATCTATTGACCCCAAACTTCTGAGTAATAGTGTATCTCTAGTTTAAACTGTAAGGCTCTATGCTATTTTTAATGGCAGTTGCAGTCTTGTTTACGTTTTGATCTCCAAGCAAAGGTGAGAGTTTGCAGCACAGTTGCGTCTGGAGGAAGTGCCCTGCTCTTGTTGGGGTGATGGTCTTGGCCAAGCTTGTGGGTTTGAAGCAGTAAACCCTAGTTTCCTATGCTAAATGCTGTTTCCTGTGCTCATTACTCTCAGGGGCTTGCCTGTGTTTAAAACAGACTGTCAGTTTCTTCACAAAGAGACATAAAATAAGAGAGCGAAAGGCTTTAGTTTATCTTTCATTGCCCTCATTTTATGTTATGTTTCCTGCTACTTCACTGTCTGTTGGCTGAGCTTTTTTTTTGCAAGCAGTTTCCTCCCTGACTTCCCTCAGCCTGGCTTAATTTAGCAAATAAGTGCAGCCACACATCAAAATGGTGTTCATTGCAGTGAAGATTTGTTTTGCTAACACAAAGGGTTTAGGTTCACCTCACAATCCTGCTCAGCCACTTTATCTTACTGTTCTATTATTATGCCCTGAAGCAAAGCACTTAACCCTTGTTTATTCCAGGGAGTCTTTGCAATTAGAGTGTTGTAGGTCACACAGGATGAAAAGTGTCTGCTAAATGACGAGTAACTCAAGCTCGGGACTGATGGATGCGGGAGTTCATTGTCAGGTTCTGCTTTGACACACAACCTGGAAACCCTACACTTCCACATCATAATTAGGGACTCTATCAATTAAAATCAAGTGAATGAGCTAATTTTGACTTGTTTACCCAGCCGCATGTCATTCCAAACTTATATGACCTTTTGTTTCTTCTGTAGAATCCGGAGTGTTCACGCTGCTCTTTTCCATACAATTATAGTAAATGGTGACCATTGGACCAGTCCATATGAATTGTGCTACTACCGAAACTTAGGCAAACACATTTAAAATAAATGCACTCAATCTCAGAAAGAATCTCTGCGATCTGGAATTTTGCATGAGCCGAAACATTTTCCCATATGGATTTCACATCGTATTCATATTTGTTAAACATGCAAATTTGCTGCATATACTGTAAAAAAAAATATTGTTGGTTTAACTTAAAGTAAGTAACCTGGTTGCCTTATAGTTTTAAGTTGATTAAACTGAAAAAAGTGAGTTAATACAATGAAGGAGATTAATAATCAGAAACTCAAAATAATAAGTTATCTCAACTAAATAAATTATTTAAGTTGATTTGACAAAAGAAAAAATGTGATAACAAATCTTGAAAAAAAATTTTCACAGTGCCTCTGAATAAGTGATAATGCATAATGGACCTTCTTTGTTCAAATAAGTGCAAGTGATTTTTTTTTTTTTTTGTTTCATTACAAAATTCTTACATATTGCACCTTTAAGTAGCATTAAGTGGAAAATTGGAATTCTAAATGGTTAAATTCCTTAATTCCCATCCCTAATTCCTTAGTAGCACAAATCAAGAACAGTTGAATAGATATATTCCTTGAAATTCTCCACATTTTCATGCATGCTTTAGTCAGCAAGGAGGCCTCAGGCTCAAACCATAGTACAAAGTGGGATTCTGAGAGCGTAGTGGGATCTATGGCTTACATACTGTGAATTCTGCCTGTGAACTTGCCATCACCATGGAGACTCTTCATCTGCTTACAGTCTAGGTGAATGATTGGTTAAGCCTTCAGGAGATCTCATTGGTTGAGTTCGGTTTATGCACTTATGATGACTCCTTCAAAGGAGCCTTCAAGTATCTTCCAATGTTCTTCTTCTAAATCCCTTGCTAGGATCTACATTAGACCTGACAAGAAACCAGTCTTCACCCATTATCTCAAGAACCATAAGAAATCTATTGCACTCTCTCATTGGAGGCCCATGTGTACTTCTCTAAAAACGTGGCATTGAGAAAAATGGCCACATCCTCTTTTTGTTTGCCTAGACTTGTTCCATTTCCACTGAGTAATGACTATCTCCATTCAGGCTAAATGGCAGGTCAAAAGAGCTCAGTGAGGAACGTCTGTTGTCTGAACGTTCTTCACCCATGGCTGCTCAATGCGCTCTCATGCCTTTTGAGTCCAAATCCCAACATCTTTTTAGGGCTTAAAGGCTATTCCTTCCAGACACGGACAACCCAGATTTATGATATTGGTGGAATGGAGCCCAAAGGCTTGTTTGTGTTGTAATCTCTCCAGTCAGTAAGCTTTTAGTCAAAGGATCATCCAGTATGGCCATCTAGTACATTATATCAATGTTAATGTTGTTTTTGTTGTGACATGCGTCCTATTGAGACAAAAGATTTGGACCGATGCAGTGACATTGTATTTCCCGTGAGGACCCCCACTCCTCACAAAACAACATGCAATACCAGTGCAACAGCGTAAGCCTTGGCAATGAGTAAATGCAATAGCCTGGTAAGATTTAAATGAATAAAATAACAAGTCCAATACTGCATCTCTCATACTTTAATGCTATTATCATATTTCACGCTAAACCACCCACTGGAGGATGAAAAGTGCGCGGTTTAGCAAGTCTCATGAGGCTTTGTGGAATTTGTTTGTGACTATATTATAGTTGTTGGCTTGCTCATCTGTGTTAACAGGGAAACTCTAATAGTGCAACACAAAGCTGAATGATGGATTTATTCTCACATATTTCCAAACCAGAATTAATTAACGTAAAGAAAAAACATATTAGCTTCATGGCAAGCTGCCATCTAGAACCTCATATTTGACTTATTTGGCATGCAAATAATGCAATATGCTCGCAAATATTGGGTAAAATAGCCAATTTATTTTTATTGAATGAATTTTTAAATATAAACATTTCTCTTGCCTCGTCTGCCATCTTTGATTTGATTTTTTTTTTAGCTTGATCTGTTGGTCCCCTTTTCAAATGTTTCTATGGGTGAGTGCAATTTAGAAAATAAAGTTTGAAACAATATATATATATATATATATATATATATGGTAAACTATAGTAATAAATGCCATAAAACTAGTCAATTGTTTGTTCATGATACCTAATTTAATAATTAATGTAACAAATTGGAACTGTTGTTTGAATTGGAAGTGTTACTGTTTGTTAATGCATTGATTCATATTTATATATAAATAAACAAGCATGGCTAAAAACGTCAAGACTTATAAAACAGTAGCACATACTGTCATATACTCATTATTTTTTATCTTATTTCAAAAGGCTCAATTACTTGTTTTTATGCAAGTACTTGACGGCAACACTCGACTATTTCATCACCATTATTTCATCATTTAACTCTCCATAGCAGAAACTTGCCAATAATATTGCACTTCATATTTTCTTTGACTGTTGCATCATGCTCTCTTCCTGCCTGAATCTTCTTGTTACGCTAGCAACCCACCAGTCTCTCGTGATGTAAGCTCTCCTGTGGCCTGAACTCATTCAGATTCAGAACTCAAGAAGTCTTTTTTTTTTCTCCCTCCCAGTGCTGTTCTTTTCTCCTTGCTTGGCAACGGATGAATGTTTTAGCATCTGTTATCGTGGCTCAAAAACTCCTGATTCAAATCTGTTTTAGTGACACAGTGTTCTTCACCACAGATTATTCAGATAGAGTAGAAGTCAACCTTTCTTTCAGATTTGTGGAGAGCCAGTGTGTCGTCCAACAGTAGGTCAAGAACTGAGGCGGTGTGATGTAATAATCTCCACGAGTCACTTCCTGCATGTCCTTTTTGGTTGTTTCATCTCAATCACAAGTGTGAGAGTGTGAAGGAAACTGAGGGAAGGAAAGTTCTTGGCCGGCATTTGCAGTTTGTTCTGGCTCCTTTGAGGAAAAAAACATATGTAGATGTTGACGTGGTGCTCTCACTTCCGATCGATCCCATTTTCATTTTATAAAACCCCTCATGCCTCTCCAAACCAAGCTGGTGAGAATCCTGTTCAGTTAATCCAAATGTTATTGGTTCTTTCATGTAATCGGTACGTGATGATTTAAAGAAGTGTCACATTTCACTTAAATACTTCACATTTGCCGATTCCTACAATAAACACTAAGCCAAAAATCATATTGTGCTAGAAGCGTAGAAGATTTCACAAATAAGTTTCCTGAACAACAATCAGCTGACCTAATTTCATCACCACTTTAAATGATACATAAATCATTTGAATCAAAAAAGGCGCTGAAAACGTGTTTTAACAGGACGTAACTGTGTTTTGTCTGGCAGCTAATGTTGTTAATAATGTGAGCAAAAACCCCAATAAAACCCTCATTTTCCCAGTAGGAAGGCTAATTTCAATCTTTTGATGTGGACACCACCATTGCCACTCAAATGCCACTGTTTCCCACACTGGTTTCCAACATAAACATACTCCCCTCCCCCGTTCACCTCATGTCTCGTGCCCTGGAGCCCAACCAAATGTAACCTCACATCTGGAGCTCTGGTTTAGCTGGGCTTGTCTGGGGTTAAACATAATCGACCATAGATGACCTAGTCTGGTGTTACTCTCCGGTCACAGCAGAATCTGTTGGATTCATCGAGGTTGCTAATCAAGGCTACTATTTTTTTTTTTTTTTTTTAAAGCCATGGTGCACCACATGCAGATTGTTTGTTATTTTGCAGTGTCAGGCTATTTCAGTTTACTTCCAGCCAGTCTAGCGTTCTCCACATGAAGCCCTCATTGTTTGGAGCACTTCACTCTGGGTAACGTAACACTCAAACCAAGGAGTTGGCGAAATTGCTTTCTTTGGCAACATCGAGCAAAACCTGAGCCAGAGAAGTGTGCAAGGCCTTATTACCTGCCTGGCTAATGAATCTCCACACGATGCCAAGAGCTAGCTTGTCATATGACTTCCTGTGAAACAACATGCCTTTAAGCTAATTGGAGTGTGCGGCTGGAAGTGGAAAAATTAAGAAGCGGGGCAAAGGGGTTTTGAGCAATAAGATGCCTGTTGGCAAGTTACCGAGTTTTAATAAGCTCCATCTGCAAGTGTGAGTCAGTTAGCATATTGCTATATAGCAAGTGTCATACAAGATCCTGTCCTCCTTCCTCAAAGTGATTCCACCGGCTGTGTAATCATTGCGTTATTAGAAATCATAAAAAAATAAAACTAAAAATGGTTAAATGATCCATTTACATTTCTGCATTAGCACTAGCTGGTAAGAACAGATTAGCTTTTAGCTCAGATTAGCTAACTGATTTTTTGATTAGCTAGATATAATAATGTGCTACAGCCAACCCGGCATCGATGCCGGTGTCACCGAATCGTGTTTGCGTTCACACAGAAGGCGTTCTGGAAATTTCCCGGGATCAACGCACTGTGTGAAAGGGGCTTTGGTTTCCTTAAAAATACTAAGCAGCTCAACTGAATTCAACATTGATAATAAATGGTTCTTTCTTGAGCACTAAATTAGCCAATTATTAGAATGACTTCTGAATGATCATGTGACACTGAAGACTGGATCAAAATTCAGCTTTACCATCACAGGAATACATCACAAATATATAAAAATAGAAAACAATTTTGTGCATTCAAAGAATTCTTTTGAAATTTAATATTTTGAAATAATTTTATTATTTTGTGCATTCAAGTGAATTATTTTGTCTGTTTTCTTGTAGCTGTGTTGAGGTAGAAGAGCACCATGCTGTGGACATTGACGTTTACCACTGTCCCAACTGTGACGTCCACCACGGACACTCCCTGAGTATGTATCCATGTTTTTGACTGTTCGACCCTATTGGCTAACCCTTACCAGTAAATTGAAATTAAGCTCCTCAGATTTTGCATTTTTGTGTTTGGAATATGTTACCGACATAATTATCTGATGGAGACATTAACTGGTTTAAGAGGATGCTGTTCATGTCTGGTCACTGTGATCAACAAGCAGTAGTTCACAACAGATGTTATGGCATTGTGGTTGTATAGTAATGACTGCGATTATTGTTCTGAGGCTAGACGTATTGAGTTCTCTCTGTCTGATTTTACAGTGAAGAAGAGAAGGAACTGGCACAGACACGACTACACTGAGCCAGATGACGGCAGTAAGCCAGTGCAGGCTGGCACCTCTGTGTTTGTGCGGGAGCTGCAGGCCAGGACCTTCCCTAGGTATGTGTGCCAATTGTGGGACGCCATCACAGTCACAACAAAGCACTCCAGCGCTTGGTGCCACCCATGATACCACATGATTCACATGGGCACAGATAATGCACTTTTTTAAAGACCTCTCATTGTGACAGTGGCCTGAAAAGTCTTATTGTAGATTACAGCTCGCAGAGTTTCACTCTAAAATTGCACAACTGTTCAAAATAGTAATATAGTTTTTATTTTAATATATTAAAAAAAAATATTTTATCCTTTAGTGTCACATGATCCTTCAGAAATCATTTTAATATGCTAATTTGCTGATCAATAAAAAAAACATCTTATTATCACTCTTTAAAACAGTTGTGCTGTTTTTGTAAAAACCATGATGATTTTTAAGTTCAAAAGAACAGAATTTATTTGAAAGGGAAATCTTTTGTAACATTTTAAATTCCTATACTGTCACTTTTGATCCATTTAAAGGAGTAGTTCACTTTAAAAAAAACTCTTACTGATAATTTACTCACCCCCATGTCATCCAAGATATCCATGTCTTTCTTTCTTCAGTCGAAAAGAAATGAAGGTTTTTGATGAAAACATTACAGGATTTTTCTCCATATAATGAACTTTACTGGGAACCAAACGGTTAAAAGTCCAAAAGACAGTTTCAATACAAACTGCAAACTGTTCAAAGGGCTTTAAACTATTTAAGACAATGAATAAGGGTCTGATCAAGCGAAACAATCGCTCATTTAAAAAACAAATAACAAAGTTTTATGTTTTATACTCTCTCTGACACTCCTGTTTGAACTCGTTCATCAAATTGTCAAATTTGTGTCATTTGGTTCATTCAACGAACGAAATGAACGAGTTGACTCTGGAAAAGATTTGTTCATTTTGATGAACGAGTATAAATAGGAGAGTCACGAACGTGCATTTTTTTATTTTTTTTTTATGTAACAAACTGGTTCAATTTGTATCTGAATTGTTATAATCACGCCTGCTCTTCTAATCAGTAATTATCCTGTGTTTTATTCTGCAGTGGAGATGAGCTTTTGCAGCAAATGCAGGGCGGTCAAGTCACCCAGAGGTATCTGGAGAGACATGGCTTCCGCTATCCCATCATTGTAACCAAAATGGAAGGGCTTGGTCTCCGATTACCTCCAACGGATTTCTCCGTCAAGGATGTAGAACGCTACGTTGGTAAGGAGGGAGATGAGTTGATCTCATCCTCTTCACTCTTTTTCTTCCACCTTTACCCATTGCGCTCCACGTTATAGCACTGAGCAGCAGCGCTTCATGGGTTTAAATATTAATTCCATTAAGAGTTATCTTCATGTAATGGAGTTGCATTACAGTCCATCCACTGCGGGGATCAGATGTTAATCTTAGGTGAGTCAAATGGGTCTAACCTTTTAGCAAACATTAATCAACCCATAATGAAGTAAGTGTGTAGATAAAAGTGGTGTACCTTACACCAGCCTAGAAGGCCTCATCTCATTGAGAGTCTGGTCTTTATAGTGTCTGATTACACTGCCGCTATATATTTCCCTCTGAGCTTTGTCCGTAAAGTTTAGGTTACAGCTCACTCCTCTACCTCTCACATTTGTGTGGATAACATATTGTTATCATGATACACACAGTGATCAGCTGCTCCATTTGGGTCCTGGAGGGGTGCCTGTGGCCCACTGGGAATGAAAGTGTGATTATACTACACTAACTGTGAGGCTACTACCACACCTTCTGGTGTCTGTCGGGCCACTGCTAATGTTTTAGCCCTTTACCGGCCTGCTAAGTTTATTTTTCACAGATTCGCCTCATTTACTTCCAGTTCACACTGAAAAATATGATTTGTAGTGCGTTGTGACTCAACAAATTTGGTCCAAACTTTTAGGCATTTCCTCTGCAAACACATGCTAATTGTTGACATTTTCGCTGCTGTTCCTACAAATGTTGAATTGCTGGCAAAAGTGAGCTGTTGAGATGCATGATGGGGAAATGTCAGTGATGCTTGTTTATGCAATGACCGTCGATAGCTGCAACATCCCTATGCTTTGTTTAAAGCTGATTTTTAAACAGCTGGCTGATGCACAATTTTTTGCTGGAACAAAAACCAAAATTAAGGTTTTCATTTGAAAACTAGAACCAATAATATTTTGGTAATTAAATTAAGGTAATTTAACTTTTTATGCTGATCAGGGTGCGGTGTACTCAGGTGATCTACTAAACCATAGTTTTTTGGTAACCAGCTGGACAAATTTGACATTGCTACTCTAGCATAATTTTTGGTCACGGTAAAGTGCATCCACTTTGCTGACTTGTTCAAAAGCTTAAAAATGCTGCCTTCGAAGACGCATTCTAAGGAAGGAAGGCATCAAGGCACATCCGAATCCAATGTTAGCCTCACTTCCTGGCATTTTTGAAGGTAGCATAGATGTATCTTTTGCTGCCTATATATCCCTGAATTCTGTGTTACAGTTTTGCTAAAAAGAAAAAAGGGCATCTGAAAGTTGCGGCTGTGCATAACTAAGTTTTTGATTTTTAGTGTTATTTCAAGCAAGAAATTACTTTTACAGTAATTAAATATTTGTTTGGGTCGCTCTATTCTGTTATAGATCATTCAACCGTTCCAAGGCCCTAGAAGTCTGAGGTGCCTTCATGCACTAATGCTGCCTACAAGTACTAATTGCTAATTGCTAGTACTAAGTGCTAATTTCACTGTTTCACTCATTGATTTCAGCCCTTCAAAACTATTACTAATCTTGCTGTGTGTATATAAAGAACACTTCCCATTCTTTTCTGGTCTATGTGCAAGAGATTGTGCTTTTTAGCATTCGTAGCATAAAGCTAAAACCATTCAATTTGTGAAATGTGAGAAAATCTGTGGACTGACGCTATGCCAGCCAAAAAACTATGTATATAGTTGAATTGATGAATGTTCAAGTTAACTGCAGTGACGTTATGTCTGGGGCAATGCACTAAAAGCTCTAGCTTTTGTCTTTAATGCACTTTTGACAGGATAGCTGCCCAGCTAATTCAGTTACTTCAGTGGGCAGCTTGCTTGCATGGCTCCCTAGGCAGCAAAATCGAACATTGTGGGTTTTTCTCCATAGCCATTTGCTTGTAATGAAGAACCGCACTCTACGCCTGCCTTTGTGAAAGCCACTTTTGTCCCACACTGTTTTGGGTACATTATGTCTCTAACTATAAAAATGTTTTTTGTTACTGGTTAAAAGGAGTAATTAATGGCATTAATGTTTTGATTTATGCACATATAAACACATATTTGGAGCTTGGAGTGCCTGTAGCTTTTTTTTTTTGTTATCTAACCCGTATTTGTGGATTTGAAACCATAAAGGATCCAATAGACATTTTTATTGGCAGGGTTGCAAGTCATGATCCCAGAACAGCAGTAAAGGATCTTTTTATTGTCTATTTTGTAGGATGAGTTTCTTTCTGGCTTGGTACACTAGGGTGCCGTTTGTGTACACAAGCACCAGCTGTCCTGCTCAGTGTTTGAGGTTTTTCCCAGCAGCTTTCTGGTGGGGTTTGATGTTCTGCCTGCCAGTTGTCTTTCTCACAGTTATAAACATCAGCTGATTTCTTGTTAAGAAACACCAAGATCTTTCACTGTGTTTTCGGTGGAGAGATGGCCTTATTTGAGGACAGTGGGAAACTTTTTAGTACTAAAAGTCTAGTCATTTGACATGATGGGCATTTAAAATATGATTTATGACCATGTTGATTATTGCAATTTATCCCTGTTGAGTTTGTTTGGGTAATGATATTTGTTGCAGTATTCTGTTCCTTTGATGCCCACTCAGTTTGCTCCCTTTGCTTATAGGAGGTGACAAAGTGATTGATGTCATCGATGTGGCCAGACAAGCGGACAGTAAGATGAAATTGAGCGCCTTTGTGAAGTATTACTACAGCCCTCAGCGGCCGAAAGTCCTGAACGTCATCAGTCTGGAGTTTTCAGACACCAAGTTAGTATTGTTTGAAAGCGACTGTGCAGACGAGACAACAAAAAAAAAACGTACATTTTGATGACAACTTGAATATCTTGCACTCAGGATGTCAGAGCTGGTGGTGGTCCCCGATATCGCTCAGAAGATGTCTTGGGTGGAGAACTACTGGCCTGATGACTCTTACTTTCCCAAGCCGTTTGTGCAGAAGTACTGTTTAATGGGTGTGAAGGGAAGCTATACCGACTTCCATATTGATTTTGGAGGCACATCTGTGTGGTACCACGTCCTGTGGGTAAGTTTGCATCACAAACCTTTGATTTTTCTATTCATTAGAGATTCCAGAAAAAAATGGATCACAGGTTCCACCAAATTAATGTTTCTTGAACAGTAAATCAGAACATTAGAATGATTTCTGAAGGATCATGTAACACTGAAAGAGTGAAAATTTAGATTTGCCATCACAGGAATTAATTACATATAATTACAATTAAACTGTATTAAAATAGAAAACAGTTGATATATACAGGGTGGGAAAAAGTTGTTTTTACCATATTTTTTGGTACTGTTTTTACCATATTTTGAAGCCTTGGTGCACATAAGAGACCTCTTTCAAAAACTAAAAATCTTACTGACCACAAACTTTTGTAAAGATTTTTCAAAAGCAAATTTGTTTAATTATATGACGACAATGACTTATTAATTGCCTTACCTGTAGGGGGAGAAGATCTTTTACTTGATAAAGCCGACCCCGGCCAACCTTGCACTATACGAGGAGTGGAGCTCATCCCCAAACCAGAGCGAAGTGTTCTTTGGGGAGAAAGTGGACAAGTGTTACAAGTGTGTCGTGCCGCAGGGAACAACACTTCTGATTCCAACGGGTAAGCATTATTTCTTCTTGTTTTATTTTTTTATTCTATTTTACTTTTTTGATTTTGCTATTCAAATAAAAGAGAATAATTGAAATGAATTGGCTTTTTTTTTTGCTGTGGTTGCACAATAAGTTAAATTATACTATAGGAGCTTTGAGGCGTATGTATTTTATTTGTTATTATAATTAGGTCATCCTAAGGTACTTTAGAAACCTATTATACCCCTTTTTACAAGATGTAATGTAAGTATCTGGTGTTCCCAGAATGTGTCTGTGAATTTTCAGCTGAAAATACAGAACAGATCATTCACTCTTGCATTTCCAATTTTCCCCTATTTGGGTGTGAGCAAAAGCATGCCGTTTTCGTGTGTGTACCTTTTTAAAGGAGTAGTTGTCTTGAAATGAAAATTACACTGATTTACTCACCCTCAAGCCATCCTCAGTGTATATAACTTTCTTCTTTCAGATGAATACAATCCGTGTTACATTAATATATATATATCTAATATGAAGTAACACAAACATATAAGACTTTTTAAGAATTCATTTACTGTGCCCTTAAATTATTTTATTATACCTTTCACATTGTTTTTAATTTTAGGGATATTCAGGGTTGATATTCAGGGTTTAATAGGGACACACGAATGTTGGAGCAAGAGGAACTGGTATTCCACTTACTGTGGAGCAGCTGTCTTTTAATGGTGGTTCCACAGGAAGGCCAGGGCTGATTTGTGTTTTTCGTTTCAGGTTCAGATGTAGCAGGAATGAGCAGCAACTCTTACCACCCAGAGAGCCACATGAGTCCTAGCTACATTTTATACAGTATATTGTTCATTAGTGAAGCTCCACAGCCTTTTTTGAGTTACAATACAAACATCTAGTGTATCGTCATCATGACTTCGTATTATATATGAAGTCAAATGATAGGGTATATATGGGTGGCATCATAAATCGGAACATTTTATGAAACCTCACACTCAAAACGAGCAGGTCATGAGGATACGTGGTCTTAAATGAATCTGGTTCCCAGCTGTTGATGGCACTAGCAGACCGGTTTAAAACTTTCACATCCCCCTGCTGTGAAACAGACTTCAAAAGTCCTTCAAAAGCTACGATATGAAAGTTTCTCATTGTCGGGGCTCTGCATCTGAATCTGATGTATATTTATGCTTTCCCACACTTCGCATGGGCCTATATGTCGAAGCGTAGACAGGAAGCCGTGGATGTAGTTGACTGACTGGTTGTTTGGTGGGCTCTGCAGTCTGCAGTGGTTTTGAAACGCTGGGGGTTTGATTCACCTCAGAAGATCTCAGTTAGCCGTATAATCATGGCCCACCCAGCAAACGTATGTGAACTTTTGCCTACCATTTTAAAGGGTTAGTTCACCCAAAAATGAAAATTCTGTCAGTATTTACTCACCCTCATGTTGTTCATTCCCCATTGACTTCCATAGTAGGATACTATGGTAGTCAATGGGGAATGAGATCTGTTTGATTAAAACATTCTTCCAAATATATTCCTTTGTGTCCAGCAGAACAAATAAACACATAGAGGTTTGGAACAACATGAGGGTGAGTAAATACTGACAGAATTTTCATTTTTGGGTGAACTAACCAAATTGACTGCATTTACACTGTTTGTTGTAGAGTGACACATCACTGGATTTTGTGAAATTGGTCTCTCAGTCCAGCTTTGCCGCACACCGGATATGAATGTCTTACTGTTGGCTAGAAAGGGACAGCTGCAGTTCAGACCAGATGTCTGAATATGTCTGCATCTGTCAGTCAGCTGTTGACACACTCTTGACCTCTCTTGCAGGATGGATCCATGCAGTTCTCACCTCTCAGGATTGCATGGCTTTCGGTGGGAACTTCCTCCATAACCTCAACATAGGCATGCAGCTCAGGTGAGCGCGTGCTTTCTCTCTTCAGAAATCAGAATTGGAGTGCTGTTAGTCTTGATGGTGTCTCGTAGCCCTCAAACCGTATTGACTTTATAGCCCTTTCCTGTAATTGTGGACAAATGTGGGCACAGAGGACTCGGGTGTGATCCTAATTTTTATTTATTATAAATGTTATCACTGTCTTCGATAAAGTTTTGCCTATCCATTTATGGTGTTTTTTATTATTTTGGGGGTATATTTGAATTTAATTACTTCAAAAAGTACCATATTTTCTATGTAAATAATGCTTATTTTTATGTTTTATTTTTTACATTTTTTAACTACTTTAAAATATCACTCCAATAAGTTCTTAGAGCTAAAACCTAAAGATGAAGTGACTTTTCTGTAACCTGGTGTCTTATTTTGGCTTATTTTAGAATGCTCTAAATTACAGTTTTCCTATTCATTTCTATGTGTGCCCATTTTTGACCCAAATACAAGATTAAGGAGTTTTTTTTCAAAAAAAAAATTTATGTGTATGTGAGGCAAACTTTGGAAAAGTAGCCAAGTCTCTTGTACTGCTCAGATCAAGGAAAGTATTTTTTAAAAATAAATCAAAACTATTTTGCCCACATTTGTCCAGAATACAATTTCAGGGTAAAAAGTTGACCAATGCGTTTTGCAGATGTACATTTTCTTTGTTACATTGATTACATTGTCTAATATTTTTGTTTTTCATATCAGAATATTGGTTTCTGAGTTGTGTATGTGTTGACTACTATTGTCCTCATATTAGGTGCTATGAGATGGAGCGGCGTCTGAAGACTCCAGACCTCTTTAAGTTCCCTTATTTTGAGGCCATTTGCTGGTATGTAGCAAAGAATCTGCTGGAGACTCTCAAAGGTACGTCATCTTAAAATCACTCAGCATGTCAATACAGGGCACTTAAATCATTGGCGTGCTGCCACTCCATTCCCTGGTGTCCATCCTAATCGTATGTTTATTGTCTGTCGTCAGAATCACGAGAAGATAACTGCCTGCCTCCAGAATACCTGATCAAGGGAGTGAAAGCTTTGATAACTGCACTGAGGAACTGGCTAAAGAGAGAGGTGAAGGAAATTACCACACAAGAAACTGCATCATGATATCAATTCAGTCATATCAGCAGCTTATGCAGACTTTATGCGGACTCTGGGTACGAGTCCGGAAAACAGCGTTTACATCTTTTAAACCAACCAAATTCTGATGTCAATTGAACCTGGGTGTGCACCAAAAGTGTTACCCTTAAAACAGCTTGGTTCTAAAACCACCTGCAATCAAACCCATTGTAATCCCTGCTGAAATAATGAGGGCAAGAGGCATCGACCAAAAAGGTCGATATCTGGTGTCAGTGGTACAGGGTAAGAACCTGAGGTTTGTTCTGTGACACAAACCCCTTATTGTGTGCCCATTTGCCCAGGTCACAGAGCCAGCCAGCGAGGTCCCTGACCATATCAGACCCAACCATCTCATTAAAATGCTCACTAAGGAAATCCAGTACCTTGAGGTAAGCCAGACAGCTTGAAACCATGGCCATACACAGGCTTTTAGAAATACAGTCTGAAAACTGAGCTTGCTTAAGGGGCACATATGTGCACTTGAGTTGTTGTATTTGATCTCACAATGTTGTTTTAAACACTCTAGGAGTATCAGAATGGGAATTGTGGAAGCAAGCTAATGAAATATCAAGGAAGCTCTGTGTGTCCTTCCACACGGTCGGCACACGAGAGAGGGTCTCACGCGCGCATGAACGCCAGACGCCTTCGTGACCACCACCACCACCATTATCATCATCACCACCACCACAACCATCATTCTCACAACCCTAAAGTTCCTTCCAACCTTGACATCTTCGAACAGCACACACAAGAAGTTTTAAAAAGACTTGAGATGGGTCCTTATGATGAGGTAATTAGGATTTATGAATACCATAAATGCCATTCAGGCTTATCTATTTATAGTGAATCATTTTCCTAAACAATCGTCTTTCAGGACGCCACCTTTAACCAGAAGGTCAACGGCAAGTTCAACAAGGTCTCTACGGCCTCAGCTGCAATGGCAGAGCGGAGTTTGGACACCGACTTGCGACTGGTACTGTGCAATGGACGTATAGTCAGGTAAACCACACTAACCTGTAACCTATTTCGGCTTTTATTGGTCATAAAATATTGGGAACACTTTCTTTACCCCTCCGATTGTCCACACAGAGATAACAGGCAGCATGTTGGTGAAAAAAGACCAGTGATAAAGGAAGAGGAGGACTTCGGAGATGTGAAGAGGGATTCACTCAAGATTAAACCAGTACCTAAAGAAGAGGAACTGGAAGTGGATATTCGAATGAATGAGGATAAGCATCATTGTGTAGCCAGAGAAGTGACATCCTTTACAGGTATCCTGATTAGTAACCCAAAATGTACCCATTTTAGTAAATATTGTGTACATAATTTTTTTCTTCAAGTGATTTTGACAAGCATCAGCCATGTTAAAACAGTTTGCGTTATTTATTCGCTCAGCTAGTGCACAAAATCGCACTGATATTTTTGTCCCTGCCAGTAATAAGGAGCTATATCTTCCACAGATCTTAGTAAACCAGAGAATTCAGATCTCAGGAACAGAGAAACAGTACATACAGACATCTCATCAGATTCTGAATCAGAAGCGGAGTTCACTACACGGGTATGTTGCCATATTCCTTTGTGCACAGGAAGAGCATAAAGTCCTAGTTTAGGTTTAATCTGCTCTTCTTATCCATGCAGAAAAAGAACTGCTCTGAGGAGGAATCTGAAAGCTCTTCAGAGGAAGAGGATGAAAAGATTAGGAGGAGCGGAGACGATCAAAATGAGGCCAAAAGTTGCTCCAGCTACTTCAAGGAGTCCAGGCAAAGACTTGACCGTTTTGAGAAATGTCTTAAAAGGTGAGAGTTGATAAGAGATTTTAGATGCCTTACATTGTCACAAGACAACAAAATGCTGGGGAAGATTATAGGGTAGTGCGTGTGTAAAACTAATCTCAAATCACATTTGCAGTGAGTCTGCTACCTCGCCAAGCAAAGAAGAGGATGCTATCCAGGGAATGCTGTCTATGGCAGGGCTGTTGTATTCTCACCAATCAGAAGATCCCAGCAGTTCACAGGAATCCTGGTGGTCCCGAAGCAACCATCACTCCCCTGACTACAGTACAGTTTTTGTTTTGTTTTTTATCGCTAAACAGCTTATTTTCCCCCCTATAACCTAAAAGTATTATTCTGATGAATATTGCATGTGTTCTTTTTCAATTCTCAGGTAAAAAGGAGATTGCCTCAGGAGAGGAGAACCAGGATTCAGACAGCAATTCTTCACGGGTAACGTCTTAATGAGTTTTATTCAATATTCAACAAAGTCTGTAAACCCAATCTTAATCTGGCACACTGTTTAGAGTGTATCGGTCATGTTCCAGAAGTAAAAACTGTAATTAAACCTTTAAAAACAGACTTGAACTCTGGGGTTGTAAATCAATGGTATATGCCTTTGTTTAATCCATCTGTTTGTATCATTTGCATAAATTTAAAGCGGAATTTGTGCTACATTACCCAAGATATAGAATCAGAGAGTTCCACCAATCAACAATATATATATTTTAACTCAAAGTTAACTTAAAATAGTGTTTAGGTGTAATCAACAACATAAAATGGATAGTGTAATATTTCACCATAGTTTTTATTCCGATTGTCATTCGCTAAATCCGTTAGTTACAGTCTTGTGCCTTTTGTCTCTTTGTCTGTAATTTGCAAATACATTTTTGCTTCAAATCAAAGTTTGTAATGTTGTGAATTACCTGGTAGCTAATTGGTTTGTCTTGTGGCTTATAATGACTTTGCAATTAAAATTTGTTTTAATTTGAAAAAATATATTTTATTTGATACTAATTTATGCATTTATTCAAAATAGAGGGGACAAATGTGGCCACTGTTTCAATGTTTGTTTGTTTTGTTTTTTTAGGAGGGATTTCGGGAGCGGGAGCATTCAGAAGGAGGATATCAGGCCAAACTCATGCATAGGATCCAGGAACACAAGAACTTCATGGACAGCCAGGGCAGTGGCAGCAACAGCAGCAGTGAGGCGTGGAGCAGTCGCACACACTCCCCAGCCCATGGGGAAAGCCTTACATTGGGCTACCAATACTGTGAGACATCCCTGTCACCACCCCTGCACCCGTCCAAGAGGCCTGCCTCAAATCCCCCACCAATCAGCAATCAGGCCACCAAAGGTACTCCATTACCATTTTCTCTGCACATTAAACACATTAGTAAGTCTTCCGCATTTGTATGCATTTATTTAGTTAGTTAGTAGGGGTGGGGAAAAAACGTTTTCACATGAATCGCGATTCTATCTTCTGCCGATTCTCAAATTTAATAAATCGATATTCTAAAGTGTTACATTTCCTAAACTTTACTGTACTGCAGTTATTGACACGTCAGAGTGTTATTAATCACAATAAGCCACGAAAAATGACTCAAGGCGGTACAGACACCCAACTGCCTAAAGCTTAAGCACAGATGCCGCCTTTATTTATAAAATATAAAATACAAAAAAAAAATTATTTAAAACAGATAAATTAAAAATGAAGAAATAAAATGAAACAATAAATATTATATTATAATCTTGATATATATAACATTTATTAATTTTAATCTTTTCTTTCTTGTAGGTAAACGTCCTAAGAAAGGCATGGCTACTGCTAAGCAGCGACTGGGCAAGATTCTCAAATTGAGCAGACACAACCCCTTCTTTGTGTAGTACTAGTGATGGGATGCTGAGTGCATGTTAAAGGTGGCGGGGTTTTAAAGTGTGTTTGGTTCAACACATTTGGTCAAAAACATTGTATTGGCTACCAATCAACCCGAAGCTTCAGAATGATCTGAAAAAGCGCTTTGCCCAACATGGTTTCCTAGTTTTGCTAATATCCATTCAAAGGATCAATGTGACTGAAAGGAAATCACTTTTTAAGACTTTTGGTTCTCGAACGCTTGCATCAAAATCAGGTTTTCAAAGCTGAAAGCAAAGACTAGCAGGCTGCTTCCCACAACTAAAAACACCTCACTTCAATGATGTACGCCTTCAACAAGGCAGCAATTGAGTGATGAACTGATTTCCTAAAGGTGCTTTTTCTCATTTTGTGATTGCAACCAACTTTTCCTAGCAAAGAAAATTTGCATTACTGCCTAAAGAAAACATTTACCAAGGTTGATCGCTTGAACTACCTGACCTGTCAATCAAAATGTTCTCATGTTTTAAGAGAAATGAAAGAAAAAAATATTTTTGTCAGCATTTGTATTCATATTGGCATATTTTGTATTACAAGCTAAGTAGTGTGTGGGGGTGGGGGGGTGGGGGGGGGGGTAGTTTAACTATATTTGGTACTCTGTTGCCACCTAGTGGGCATCCAGAGACTGACTATTTGAAGCTGTCATTTAAATGGGGCACGTGACAACACATTTTCCCTTAATTTATTCCTTTTTTTATGTTGGTGCTTGATTTTTCTTTTTTTTTCTATACTATTATTAAATTACATATTTATTACTGATGAAAGAGAACAATTTCACTAAGCAATTAGGGAGATTTGCTGTTCTTTAGGGTCTTGATATGCATCTGTTTTGAAACCCGTTTAGATATCTGTGGCCGCACAGACATTTGTGCACGAGCTCAGCCATTTTTTCAAAATTTCAGCTGCATTTTTATTGCATTGTGGGTAAGAACAAAATGTGTTGTGTAATGGGATTGTGTTACCTCCTGTTATTGACTGGTTTTTACTGTTATTCTAAAGATCTGGTTTCAGAGATGTGTTTTTGTTTCCAGATGTATAAAATTCAGCTGCCTCATCAATTTCTAAAGCATTAAAACACTGTTTGAACTGGTGCTGTGTACAGTGAGAAAACAAGACGTTTAAGACGGCCATGGAGCGTGGGAGAATGTTTACCTTTTTTACGTTGAAATGTATTTGGCTACACGTCTTTTTACAAAGAAACGAAAAGTATTTATTTTTGTAAAATAAGTCTTAACAGAGAGAATTGTACCAACAGCGTGTATCGAAATATGGCGTTTTGTAAGATATGTGTGTGATTTGGAGGTAGTTTGCTCTGGTTCTGTGTGAAAGACCTCAGGTAATTTTTCACGCTCAAGGTTTTGGATTCCCTTTGATGAATGCCAAATAATGTCATTATAAAAGTCAGGTCTTGCTTTCAATTGTGATGTCCCGATTTTTATTTAATCTTATATGAACATTTCTTGATGAGTATCCCCATGAAAGGAAATCTTCTCCTTTTCTATTCCCATTATGTTTAAAAAGCAGCTTCAACCTAATCTACCAGGCTCTTCAGGCAATAACACACATTCCATAAGCTTCCAGGAACTTTTCTGATGGATTTCATTGACTTGCTGAGGTACAAGTACAGCGGCTCAGGGCTCACATATGGACAAATTATTCTAAGGGCTTCAGTCAACCCAAAGGTGGACCGAATTGAACGGGTGATTACGACCAGCACAGTATTGCTACTGTATGTCATCTTACAACGTTTTTATGATGGTTTATTGTGGACCGCGACGCTCAAGCATTGTGTTTTGATCCATTTCGAAGATAAAACCACAATGCCATTAATGTAGCACCAGTTGTTTTTCCCCTCGATTAGCCTATTTGTCTGACCAGGATTTGAGCTATGTTACACACTACACTTTTTTTATTATTATTATTATTATTGCTGTTTTCTTCAACACGGTGATTATCTAAATGTGCTTGAGAACTTGCTGGCCTGCAGGCAGGGTTTGTACCATGCAGTACTTGTACAGTATTTATTTGGCATTCTCGGTTGTGTTTTCCATTTTCTGGTCTTGCAATCAATTACTTATTTGTTTATGGTGTGTCCTCACTCATTGTCAATGCATTCAGCTGTTTGAAAAATTTTATATGGTTGTATAATTTCATTTAATATTTTGTGACACTGTAATCCACAGCCAAGTCTCTTTAAATTGAGTTTTTCAGATTTACAATGTGGCCTGTACATATTAAAAGTTTTACGAATGAATATGATGTTTCTGGGTGCTTTGTTAACATTGATTCATGCTCACATTCCTATACCGATATTGATCGCATTATTTGGGTCCTTAAAATAGCCCATGAGAACTGATTAAAACTATAAAGTTTTCTTTTGTAATTTTTTTTTGTTTTGTTTTTAATTATTTTTTACATTTACTAATCAAAGCATATAATTATACACATGTGCATGCATGCATGCATATATTGCATCCACATATATATGTATAAGAGATCAAAATTAAAGAACAACATACAATTTCCTAAAGTTCGAGGTTACTGCTTAGTCCTGTTTAAAGTTATTCTAACAGGAGCAGAAGGGCAATTTTTTTAGCATATTTCATAAGTTAAATATATTTGAATAAAACTTGAACGAGACAATTAAAAAATAAAAAATACCTCCAAGTATTTGGTGATAATGTGGAACCTGGTGCTAATTTCTTTAATTATCTGTCAAACTCTATTTAACTGGCAACGAACTTTCCTATTTTAACTGACATTGCAAGATGGCAAGCTGTGGTGAATGAAACCCTATGACACCAGGTTGTCCAGATGAAGGCCGAATGACCCTTTCAGCTATTGCAACAAAAGTTGTCCGTTCTAAATCTGTGATTTCTAGAAAATTGAAGCTTTAAAAAAGCCACTCACTCATTCATTCAAGTCCTCCAAAACGGCTGGTCGTGCACAAGGACAGGGCGATGAGGAGACCTTCAATGCGGAATCGGTTGGAATTGCTTGCCAGTTCAGAGCTGAACACAGTAAGGATCTGTCTCGGCATACAGTGATTCGGACTGAAAGCTCAGTCTGCAGTGACCAAGCCTCTCATCTGCAGAAAGAATGAAAAGGTTCACCTTTGTGGAGGAGCATGTTGTGTGAACAGGAGAACTGGTCAAAAATTCACTTAAGTAATAAAAATTTATTTTGGCCCGATTATGGAGTTGGGCCTATAATGGCAGGGTAAATGCAAATGTTTATCAGAACCTCCTTCAGCAACGGTTCCTTCCCTGCAAGCATCTACCAATCAGCCCCCAATTTTCAACTTGAAGCGGAGAACATTGAAATAAAGAAAGATTCATATCAGTCCTGAACTGAACCTGATTTAAAATACTTCAATGGTTATCTAATTTTGATTTTGAAGTACATTGGTTATTTTGTAAAACATGCTAGTAGAACAATACCCACACCTAATATTCCTTCAAATTTCAAGAAACGAAGATTAACAATGTTTCTGAAAATAATAAAGTGTTTCTAATCATTCTCTAATTTTGATCTCTACTGTGTGTGAGTAGCCTATGTGTGTGTCATAAGTTTGGAAACATTACTATTTCTGTGTTTTTGAAAGAAGTATTTGAAGAGTTCAGATGCAAAAGCCTCTAAATGCCATTTGAAATTTTCTTCTTTAATGATGATTTTTATCAAACTTGTATATTTAAGTTCAGTAATTTCACTTAAATGGCAATGATAATTACCTATTAATTGTTATTTAAGTGAAATTATTGAACTTAAATATACAAGTTTGATAAAAATCATCATTAAAGAAGAAAATTTCAAATGGCATTTAGAGGCTTTTGCATCTGAACTCTTCATTTTATGACCATCAAGCCATTTGTTTGATAAAAAAATTATGAATATATATATATATATATATATTATTTAATTATTTTTCATGAACAATCATAAACGGATCTTTCATTTAAAAAGTGTTTTCAGATCTATTCAATTCTTATTTAGAAAACAACAAAACTGCAGAGATCCAATCCTATCTAATTGGCAATCCATTCCCACAGCAACAGGTGTGCGTTTGCATCTGCGCGAAGCCTCCGTCACTTTGCACCATTTGTGCGCATGTTGAGAGGGGTGTCAGTGCGCGTCATTTAATATGTTTTGTAGTCGCGAGCTCGTGCGTCGTGCGCGAGCTCAATAACCACCGCACTAGGTGCGCGCGCGTGCCTTGACAGTCGCCATTTTATTTTGAAAAACCCAAACCGAACCGAGGGAGAAAGCGACCTTTTATCAGTCAAGATCAGAACGAAGAAATACGACGAAAATGATCATCCGCTCGTAATTTTTCCAGGATCGAGGTAACGCGTCCTCTCGCTGCGTTCGGGGTTTCGTTAAAATCTCACAAATAGCTGAATATGTGATTTGCTTATCATATGTAGTCTGCTCGGCTAATTTAACGTTAGCTCTTTACTTTAGCATGTAGCTTACATTGCTGGTGGTTTTAACGGCCAAAAAGACTTAAAATCCCAACCGACTCTCCGCGCACTGGTACGATCACGGTTAATGGTCGTTAGTAGTTCGGTTGATTTGACCATTAATAAGCATTTTTGAAAACTTTATGAATATAAGGAAGGCTCTTGTGGTTCGCGCTATAGCTAACTACATGATCACTGGAGTGATTTTAGACACCGAGTTTGTTGCCTTGCTCTGTTTCTCCAACCATATAAATGTGTTGAGCGAGGCCCGGACGACAACAGTGTAGCTGTATGCAAACCTGCATGACTGCTTATGTTCACTTGCACTGCTTTACATGTTCTTATCATGTATACTAAATTGTTTTTACGCAACTACCAGTGCATTAATACGACTTTATACATGAGTAAGGTGTTTGGTTGCCACATTTTAGCAATACTCATGTTAGAACTGTATGATATGGACGTTTTTGACGGTGTCTTACTTGTACTGGCAATCATAACTCTTGCCTGTTGTGCATTTCTAACATTAATGCCCAAAACAAACAAGCAGACTGGTCCTGTCAGCTAAGTGATCTCGATGAGCATGTCGGGAACAGGCTAGTGCTCGTCACCGTTCGAAACAATGAGGTTTTAGGCTGTTAGCTTAGCCTAGCTGTTAGCCAGCACTGGATTAGCATGACTGCTCTTGAATCTGACTTAAAAACTATCGGGAGTTAATTTCGAGATAATACAGTTGAGTAGGGGATAAAACTCTATCCGAAGAGCCGTTTCGTGTCATAATTATGTAACATAGGTATTGATAAATAAGAAGCAACTTGGATGAAAGATGAGTTAGCACTAGGAATGCTAAAGGTGTTTTCCACAGCCAAGCTGGGAGTGTTTGATCGTTTGAAGTCAAATTGTTGTTGGGAGTTGTTTCGTGAAAATGACACGTTCCTATTTGTAATACAGGATAATTTCTATTCAAGTAACATAACGTCTTCGCCAGTCATCTGTGTTTTACGTGACTAGCGTTTGTAACTGAAACTATTATGTATTATTGCTTAATAACTGCCCTTTAAAATCGTTTGGGTTTTTTGTATTTTCAATTGTTTGCACTCAATATTTCAAGAATGTCCTTTAGCCGTTAGATGAGTTCAGAAAACATGTTGTTGTGGAAAACAGTCTTGATTGTTTTAGGTTTCAAAAGTCACACTTCATACATCTATTTCCTCATAAATGTACTTACAAGCTCTTGGCGGCTTTATTGTAGCAGGAACCGAACGTTATAAAGGTTTATTTACTCTGTTTGTGCGACCCTTCAATTTTAGTCGAGGCCTGTGAGTCTGAGTGTGTATGACTTCCGGTTTTGCAGCTGTACCGTTCAGTTTCTCTACGCGCGTTAAAAATAAAACAGAAAGTGTCGGAAAATTTGGAAATAGGGCTCTAAAACATTTTGAAATTTAAAATGCTTCAATTGACTCTTAAATTTTAAGGTTTTAATGAATTGAGTGTTAGAATCTTAGTATGTTGAACGTTTTTAAAGGGACAGTTCCCCCAAAAATGAAAATTCTGCTATTTGCTCACATACTAATTTGTATACTTATTGACTATTCTATGCCATTGTGTAATATAAATAGTCATATAAATAAATAAAACCAAAAATAAAGTGCTCTTGAAATACCTTGATGATGCACTTAAAGGGATAGTTAACCCAAAAATTACAATTCTGTCATTAATTATTCACTCTCATCTTGTTCCAAACCCGTAGTACTTTCAGTCATCTTTGGAACACAAATGAAGATCTTTTTGATGAAATCTGATAAATTTCTGTCCCTCACAACTGACAATTCGACGCTACGAAAAATTCATAATGAGATCGTAAAACTTATCCATATGAATTGTGGTTTAGTCCAAATTTTCTGTAGACACCCTTGCTTTGTGATTAAAAGATTGAATAGTCTTTTATTCACACAAACATTGGTCAGCTAACATAAACAGACCGAACCTGCTTGACAAACTTCTTCCTGAAGCTCAAACATGCTGTGTAACACGAGTGAACCTCATTGGTTCTTGCTGAAGCTCAAATGTTCTGTGTAACTTGCAAATTAACTTCATTGGTTCTCATGCTTCAAGGGAACATGCTTGAGCTTCAGTTTACCACAGCTGATGTGTGAATTTTAGACAAAACCGCTTAATTCAGATGGATTTATCTTTATGAACTTTGTGAAGCGTCAAAGTGCTAGTTGTGTAGCTGTCTATGGAGGGACAGAAAGCCCTCAGAATTCATCAAAAATATCTTTATTTGTGTTCGGAAGAAACACAAAAGTCTTACGGGTTTGGAACGACATGAGGATGAGTAATTTTTGGGTGAACTATCCCTTTAACCGGGGGGAAAAATGAAGCATGAAATGTTGGCTTCTTTATGCAGCCAACTGTTGCAGCTTTCCTTGTATAGTGGAGGAGGGACAATCAAATTCTGTCGGACGACAAAATAACCTTATAAGACTAATACATTAGACAAGGGGTCGGCAACATCAAAGCACTCACTGCGCTCAACTAGCTAATTAGGTGCTAAGACCAATGTGTCCGTATATAAAAATGCTTTGACGTGCAACATTTACACGCAGAGGGATAATAGCTAAAGAGTTGTCAGTGCCGGTATTTAATTTAAATAAAAGCCCTAAATTGCATACGCATGTACATTTTGAGGTAATCATTCCTCAAAAGTCTCACAGCCTGTTTATTATGTTAGGTGCTATAAGTAATTACTATTAAAGTGAGGGAGTTTTTTTCTGTGCTGGACAGATCCCTC